ATGAACTTCCTAATAAGAGTAATAAGATTCTCTTGCTCCTTTTAGTTTCCGCCTTGAAAAACTGGTGGATGTACTTTGGTAGCCCGCCTTGCGTAATGCCTCTCAGAAATATATGACACACTGCTGTCATGGAAGCAGGGTGAGGAAAATGACCTCAGTCCCAGATAGAGTCCGCTTTCCTCCTTTATCTTACTTGATGCTTCAGGGTTTGATAATGCTAGGAGTTGATATTGGTGGCAGTGACAGGAATGACAGTACTTTTTACCACTTGCTGGTGGAAGTACAAAGCTGTCATACTTGAGAGCCATGGATACAGCTTATAGAGGCCTGTTTAAAAAAAATGTGTGAATAGAGGGGCAGAGATACTTAGGATTATTTTCACACATTATTTTATCATGAGCAAGGGGAGAAATACTGTGTTTAAGTTTGCTCAGCTCTTTCTCTCCTGCAGAAACTGAATATTCTTTAAAAGGTGAAAGCTTTCATATTAAGATGAGCCCAGATTTCCATTTACTTCTCCATCTCAGTACCCCTCTGTTCCAAACGTTTGTGAGTTGTTCTGTCATCCTGATTTGCATTCTACTTTGTATTGTGTAATATATTATTATATTACTAACCTGCCCAGTTTGTTAACTGGAGTTTCTTTTAAAAAAAAATTGCTTTAATCTTTTTGAATGCTTTAAGAAAAAGTCAGTCTTCAAGTTTTCTTCTATGAACTCTAACCCACAATTCTGTATTCCTATTTTATTTCTCTAAAAGCTGAGTATCTCTGAGTATTTTAGATCTTTTTCCTGCCTTGTCTAGGTTTAATTATCTCCTTTTTTTCCTCTTTTGTAATATGGTCTGAGCTCCCTTTCCCCCTAACATTTATTATTAATCTCCTGTTTAGCTTTCTTGAGTTCACTGCTGTCCCGTAGGGAGATTGCTTACATTCGCAAGGAGTACATCAAGTGTGCTTTTCTGAGATGTAAAGAAAATAAGCGCCACAAGTTTTCTTCAGTTTTTTTTTTTCTTTCTCATCTTATTTAGTGAAAAGGAAGAAAAAAATACATTATTTTCTGTCTTTTTCCTTGCTTCTTCTCTCCATTTAGAAATATAGCCTGCCTCACAATTTGACAAGTTACCTTTCTTACCTTTTTCAAGATGATCTTGACATGTAGCTTCAAATTATTTAATTATAATAGAAGAGGGTTTAACTATTTGATATTTTATCATTGTCATTTTTTAGAAATATTGCTGTTTTTTAATTTTAAAAAGTTATTTTTATGGAGCTATTAACAAAGAATGAGGGAGACATGTATATAATGACTTGGGTAGATATTCATAATTATTACGAGCAAAGGATGCTACTTATATTTTTTACTTTATATACCTTGGCATTTTTCCATTGTTGATAAATTTTTGTAATTAAAAAATTACTGGAGAAGAAAATATGTGGCTTAGTGGAAAAACTGAATAAACCAATATGCAAAATATAGATATTTTAAAACATCAATTTGAATTTTTCATTTTGAATAGTTTGTAATAACTAGAACATTCTTGAATAATGTCATTTATTTCACTTAATTGAATTTTTTGCTTTGCCAGAAATTCTTTCTGATTTTGTCCTCATTATCCATGTACTTTATGCAAAACAATTTAAAAGTTCTTAGATCATTGAGGATAGTCTGTTTTTTTACAGTCTTTTTTTGGCCATCATTTTTGATTCTTCAATTTCTTATACCAGTTGCCTTTTTAGTCAGTTGACATACCCTATCGATTCTGCCTTCACGTTACCTGTCACACGTTTACGCTCCTTTGCACAGCTACTGCCAGCACTTTTTGCCAGGCCTTTCATTACCTGTTGGGGTGATGACTATGGCTTCCCGTCTTCTGTGTCTTACCCAACCAGCGATTTGGTTTCTCATCTTCCTGTTACGTGTCTTACTCAATCAACCCTTCCTACATATTGCTGATTGATTGATTGATTGATTTGTAACCCATTTATCATTGTCTTATTCCCCTGCTCAAATATCTCTGCCGATATTTAAAGCCTTCTTTCTGTCTTTGGCCCCAGTTTAACCTAACAGATCAGTTTCTCACTATTGTATAACTTTCCTTCTAAAGAGAGCAATTTACTGTTTCTAAATCTGCTTCAGTAGCTTTCTTCAATAATGCTTTTATTTATATTGTTTTTAAATCCAACATAATTCCTTTCTTAAGATTATTAAGAACATTTTTTTTTTCATAGTATTTACTGCATTCTGCCTTTTTGTAGGTATTGCCAGACTTTTAACTACCTTGATTCTAGGTTAAGCTTCCAGGGTAATGACTGTATTCCATATGAATATGTGTACCTAATGTAGTGCCTTCTACATTGTAAGGATTCAAATATTAATTGAATTACTAAGCTTACTTAAATGTACAATCAAGGTGTAATGAAACTAAAAGTTTTATTGACTTCGGAAAATAGTCTTTTAGAAGACTTTGGAAAATAGTCATATTACTGTGTTGACTAAAGTCTTACTAAGCACCTGCTTTCTTATCTTTCGGTTTTCATCTTTCAGTCAAATCTCAGTTAAATGAGGAGTTTGATTTTTAATGCCCAGAGAACTTAGATTTTGCTATCATTTTATTTGGGGGATTAAAAAAATAGACAAGTAGACCACATACCTAAAAATTGACTTACCGTGGTGAGATCAGAAATATTATGGATGGCATTTTTTTAAAGCATAATTATAAATTCTTAAACTTTCATAATAGGTTTGAACATCTGTTCAGACTAATTGGTAGACTAACGACCTCCTGGAGTTAGCAAGCAAGAGAGTTCCATATCTTATTGAGCTCAAGTTTGGTTTGTTTTTAAAATACTAGTTCTCACTTCTGTGGTTTTGAAGAACTTACCCAGTTAACTATATATAAATGGATGCCTGTGCCTCTGATTTGTGGCAGAAGGACCCATATTGAGTTTACTGTTACTGCTGTTGCTTTTGCATTTACAGATTTCATTCTAACATGAAAAATTGGTATTTATATTTTTTCCCATAAAATTATTAGAAATACAGTGAAAGACACACACGTTTTGGTGAAGCCCATCATGAGGAAAATAAAAATACTTCACCTTTTCATAGAACAAACACTTAAAGTTGTCTAAGCTTCTCATTCTCTCATTTAAGCTGAGGTCATTAATTTTAAGCATATTTGTGACTTGTTTTCAAAAGCTGATCCTTTAATATAAATATTATTTTGGTTTACACATTACATACTATTTAACATTAAAAAGCAATTAGAAGTTGTTTGGTAGGTATGAATTTTCTTTGTTGTAAAACAATGGATGTTACTTTTGAATACTTGAAAGTCCATTACAGGAGGGCAAAAATGCTTGTTAATTGTCTGTTCCAGTGTCAAGCGTAGAAATAATAACAGTTTAGAAGGCAACATTATAATATTTGCCATTTATTATTTTGTTAGATTTCTTATTACAGAACACAAGAGGGCATGAAAGCAGTTTAGGCAAATATATTTAAAAATGTTTTTTAACCAAGTTCTTTGGCATGCTTATAGACTTGAAGACTAAAAATATTTAAGACACAGAGGGTTTCTCTTAATATGAAAATTCTAAAAATAGACTAATTTTTATGAAGATTATAAAACTAAATACAATTATAATTTATGCTTGGAAGTTTAAGTATAAAATTAGTTTAAAAAATTTTAATGGCTGTATTAGGAGATATTCTGTGCCAAATATGTTTACTGAATGAAAAAAATTTTAATACCCTTACCTATGAAGTCTTAATTTCTCTACAGGGTTCTGAAAAATGTCTATTTTCTTATGCTACATTTTGTCAAATTGAAGCATATCTTTAATTCCATGAAAGTAGAAAACAAGAAAGAAGGATACTGTTCTTTTGCTAAGATTTGACATGATAACATTATCAGAAATAAATCACATTAAATTTCCCATGTAACCTCAGGGAATTCAAGCTATTGCATGGTGCTCATTTCTCTCAAGGATTAATGTATTCAGTAAACTAGACTGGGTAAATCTCAACCTCACTTACTTATGTAAAAGTGATGTATTACTGAATTCCTTGACATAAAATTTTATTTAAAGATGAGTTGTTACTTGATTTGATGGACACAGTGTTAAAAAAAAAAATAGAATAAAAAGTTGCCCAGTTATCAATTATAAGGTAGCAAGAACTGTATTTGCCTGTTTAAAGTAACTTATTGCTATTTTTCTGATATAGTGGTAATTAGCACTCACTGATATATTATTGGATTATAACAGTTGGAAAATATTTGTTTGATATGAGATTCCCAAACCTTTTATCTGTAGTTAGGATTAGTAATTTTATAGTTTTCCAACATGAATTGAAGATCGGAGACACAAGGATTAAAGTTAGATCAAGTGGTGTAAAGTAAAAAAATTGACAAGATTTATTGCCACTTAAATGATTTTAAGAATGGAAATAGAACTATTGTTCTTTGAAACATTTGGAAGCTATCATAGTATAGGAAACTTGTGTAAATGTTATTACTCTAAAGTTGCTATATATCTAAAATTAGAAATCATTGGCTTTGTGCAGCTTCTCTACAATGATAGAAAGTCTTTTTTTCTTTCTTTTATTCAGATTTTAACAGCTGACTTCTGGTATACAAAAAGACTGACTTAAATAAAGTTAGGAAGTTAGTTTATTTTAATGCACTGGTTTTTACCAGTATACTATATTAATCCGGAACATTTGGCTTAGACTCAAGCAAAGTGAGGAAGGAAGAAAAGAGGCTGATGCTTTAGTTTTCTTCCTTCCCTTTATTGTCGGTTTATTCATATATTTATAGGCATAGTGCCCTTGATCTTAGAAAATCAATCTCTTTTTCATAATAAACTTGAATTTCAAAGTTTCCCTATCTTAGAGTGTATATACAGGGTTGTTTCTTGGTTCTTAAATTTTAAAATCCTGATAAATTCTACAATTTTCAGCATTCAAAAAAAAGGATAAAGTTTCACACATAGTTCATTATTTTTGATGCATCAAATATATAGCAAGTAGACTATACCAGAAAACATAATGTAGTGACAGAAAATTCTGAATTAATTTTGATTGGAGACCATAATTTTTGTTCTTATATTAAAGTGCTATTCCACTTGTCATTTATATAAATATATCTATAGCTTGTGGCGTAGAAACAAATACACCTCATAAAAAAAAGAAAAGGATACCTGTGTCAGTTACATTTTAAAGTTATACACTGTTTTAAGGCTATGTATTTATTATTTAGAAAATATGACTTACATGAATATCTTCTGATGGACATAATATTGACAAAATATACACAATATTACTTTAACAGACTGCCATGCAACAAATACATTGTAATGAAGAAATTGAATATATATGACCTAATCTAATCTTGACATTTACATCGAAAATTTACAACATAACCAATACTTAAAATGTTTTTTCTTATATTTGGCAGTAATTTCATTTTTTTACAATTTAAATGTGGGCTTAATGAAACTTAGATTTTTTTCCCTAGTCTGTGACAACCTGAGGTACTAAACATTTTTCTCTTATTTCACTGTCTTCAAAGGTAATTTTTTTGTTTCTTTTAGGATCTATCCAAGAATTGTGTATTACAGCATTATTAGGCAGAGGATCAGCTTCCACTATGGAAACAACTCGCTTTTTCATTTTACTTTTCAAGACCTTCTGAAATTTTTGTCTAGTAAATGCATATAATAAAGGGTGAAATATAGTTGTTCCATAAGCCATGACTAGAAAACACAACCTTAATTTTACTAAAAGGTCACTTGGGCCTAAACATAAAATGGTGGTATTTAAAACAGAAATGGGTGTCCAGCAGAGAAGAAATGTAGAAATAATCAATAAAGACATCCTGAAGACTCTTTTTTGCCTTTCCCGTCGCTCACGGTGTCGTTTCACGGCTCGCCGGAGGGCGATTATTACAGAGACTGAAGTTCTTACACCAAAGACCACATTTCTCCCACCACTGCTTTGTGACATGTCTGTAGTCTCATGCTGTGTGGTTAGAGAAATTGTCTTTTTCTTTCTTGTTTTCTTCTTCTGCCCTGTTGAAAATCTTGTGCCGATTCGAATGTTAAGAGCCTGAAGGATTTTGGTGTATGTGATTAACATTACTATGACAGTGAAAAAGAATATTGGGATCTGTACTAGCAGGTGGTAATACATTCCCAGTTCGGTGTAGTATTCATTTGTACTGACACACAAAAGTGTCTTGTTTTCCCACGTATTTCCACTTTGAAGACTGAAAAAATTTACCTCAATAAAGGGAATCAGGAAAGAGAAAAACGAAAAGATCCAAATGGATATCATTAGCATTACAGCTCTGCCCATTGTCAGAATTCGGTTTGCAGGTTTTACAGAGATGTCATATCTGTCCAAAGTGATAGCAAAAACGTTGATTGCTGTTGAGACACTTGCGAAAGATACACAGGCCTCATGGAAACAGCAGATGAGAGCAGTGTTACTCTCCAGTGAAAGCAGAAGGATAACTATAGTTAGAGGAATACATCCCACACAAATTATTACATCAAGTACATGAAGGTTCATTGTAATAATGTTACTGACAGAGTTGATTAAGTTGGATTTCATGCAGTAAAGTACCAATACGGTGAGGTTGCTGCCAAGTCCCAACACAATTTCTAACATAAGAAATCCGGTGAGAGACACTTGAAAGCTTAATGGATATGATAGTGGTTGGTACATATTGGTGTTGATGTCATCAATGTCATCTCGCACTGTAATGTTAGATTCAGACTGCATGTTGGTGTCCAGAATGGGAGAAAAACACATTCTTTTGGAGCAGTTGGTGTTTTTCCTAGAAAGTGAAATAGAATAAACTCTTTGATATTTGGCAATTTAAATGACGTATAAAACATGTGTTCCTTGTTTTTAAAAAATAGTCTTTTTATTGTGTACTTGGCTTAATTTTTAAGTTTCTAAACTATTAATGGCAAAGGTAGAATTAGGAGACATCGAGGTTGCATTGTTTTGATGTAACAGGGAATTGGATTCTCCCTTTGACTCCTATATAGTTCAAAATAACTCAAGATCCCCAAAGATTTTCCTCATTTGGGTTTTTCAGGCTTTTTGAGATACGGTATCTTTTTGTACAATAAAACTACCCAGTATGCAAAACTAATTTTAGCCTAGTGTTTTAATATTTCATTTTAAAGTGTTGTGAGTAGGTGGGTAATAAATGCTGTTTTAATATGTTCTAGCATAATTAGTGTAGGTGTAATTTTTCTCATGAGATTTCAAATGAACAGGACAAGAGTTCATTTAAAATGATAAATGGCACAGAGCCCTAGTTGTTTAAAACCATTTTGTCCATGTTCTTGGTTGAAACTCTTATTCAGGAGTCTACAGTGTGCTTGGGGATATTTGGAGCTCTCTCCCCTAGAAAGTAGGCAAATGATAAATATTACATATTTTGTAGTGCAAATGCTCGTCAAACTTCATAATGGACAAACTTATGTAATAAAAATTGGATGAGAAAGGACATTATGTTAAAGTAGAACACCACAAAACTTGGTAAAAGAGTACTAATCACTCCAATGAATGATTTATTTTGTGACCACACCCTCTCATTTATTGTGGAAGAAGGAAATTGAAATTTAATATCATGTTAAGTAATAATCATTTTTGGAGTGGTTTAAAAGGCTATATCATTTGATTTTATATGTTTAAACAGGATTTTTAAAGTAAAACATGAAATTTTGGAAAAGGAGTATCTGAAGCCCATTTTCTGAGGAATCTTTTAAAGTTATACATTCCATGTGAAACCTTTTGTAAATAAATCACCCGGTGTGTATAATTTTGAGGAAAACAACAATTAAAAACAATTAAAAAATAAGCTCTTTTGCCAATTCATATAAATCTATATTTTAATATATAGAGGGTTAGAATAATTTATAAGAATAATGTCTGACTTTCTGGGCTAACATGTCAGTAATGAGTATATTCAGTTAACATAAAATCATACAACCAACTATATTTCACATTTCAAGTACAGCGTTTTGACTGCAAAATCATAATCAAACATAAATTATAAAGACTAATAATTTCCAAGATTCATGTTAACCTTTCACTTGGTGTAACCTTCGACAGCTTTTCGAATACAATTTTATTTATGCATATTATTTTAGGGGCGATATTTCAGAAACACAGATGATAACATTATTAATTCCTTTGAGCTTGGTATAAAGTATCACTAAAGGCATATACTCAAGTGAAAGTCTTAGCTAACAGTGAAATCATATGAAAATGGAAAATTTTAAGTGTGCCAGATTTTCAGAACTGACAGATTAAACATCAGGTCTTTGTCATCAGTTAGATTTATAATTGGATAAAGCAGAAATGCCAAGTTAGAGGGTAACTAAGTAAAACACGTCTCCTCTAGAGCAAGATTGTTTTCTTTTGTAAATGTTAAACAGTGTGGTGCGGTGCATGCATCTTCTGACCTACCTGTTTGCTGTTGCCTTATTGGCCTTTTGGCTCACTATAGCAGATTTTCACAAATTGATTCATGATGTCATTGACAGATTTTGACATGAATTTTTACCTGACAACAGTGAAGTAGCTGTGTTTTATTTCATGTCTTGTAGAAATTCTTTCATTTTCTCTCCAATACTTCAAACTGCATGAATTGTGAGATTTAGTTGGCTGATGGATTTCTAAAGACCAGTACAAAATATTTGTGTTTGTTTTGCCTTAAAAAGTCACGACCAAGAGAAACTTCCTCAAATGATAGGAATTGTGTTTCCCTTTGAGGGAATATATGATAGTGTCTCTTTATTTTCCAGGACATGTGAAAACAAAAAAGGAGACATACGGTTTCTAGCTTCTAAAATGTATTTCGACATCCTTCTGTTACAAATGTAAATCTGTTTCTATAGCAGTCCTCATTAGTTTGAAATAATTTCTTGATCACATAACTTGCTTTGTATTATAAATCCAGTCCATGTTCTTTTGATAAAAACCATCTGCTGTTTGATTTGATTTGTTTTCATTAGAAGAGGATACATAGTCCTAAAACTTAGATGAAAAAATCCTTTAGTAATATCAAGTGCTGTGAATATCTGAATATTTAGTGCAGAAAATACATGATAAAGCTTTATTTAGCTTGCTGCTAATGTATGGCATTCTCTTTTTGGCATTCCGTGCCTCATTGTTTCTTCAGGAAACAGCTCCACAGTCCCGGTATGTTAAAGTATAAACTCCCCTTTTAAAAATGCTCACCATTTTGTTCTCAGGCTTTCTCAGTTAAATTGTTTTTCTTTTTGTGTCTATTTTATATAGCATCTTCTTAGGATGATTGCTGTCCATGTGTTATATCCCAGCAGTAATGTGGACGTGTATTTTCTGGTTTTAACTCCTTAATGTCTTAAATTCATGTGTCAGAAGAATATCCTGCAGTTTTTGGTTCAGGCAGCTAGAGAGGTGTTTGATCAGATGCATTCTTCATATTGTCAGTTGTAAATACTGAATTAGCTGCTGTGGGCCCTTGTGAAAAAGAAAAAAAAATGGTTAAGAAATAGGGTTCCTAATAATTTGCAATTAACACAAGTTACTTCAGTTTTGTTGACTTTGACACCGTACGCAGTAATTTGTTATCAAAGTAAGCAAACTGTATTAGTAGAGCCACCACCTATGCATAAATTTAAGGGATTCTTTAAATATTTTCTTTTCCTAACAGATTTTGCAAACGTTACATGATTTAGTAATAGAGGTAGCATTATAAATAGAACCATGAAGGAGAGGCTGCAGTTTAAAACTAATTTCTGCTCTCCGTTTAGAAGCTAGCCTAGGTTTTCAGAGATTATGATCAATTAGCATACACTACACATACTGTCGTTCTCTCTTGTCTTTACAATAAATTTAACACTGTTTCCTACTGGGAAATATGGTAGCTTGCTTAATTATTAGCACATGGTTTGAGTATCAGCTGATTCAAACCTATCCCATGGTAAGATGCTTATAAATGTCTACCGATGGGTTGTTCATGCAGTTGAAATGCAAACGGTAATGCAAAGTGTGACTGCACATTAAATAATTTTCAGTGAACATGCCCGATAACGAACTTAACCTAAAACTGAGTAATAAATAATAGCTAAATAGAAAACCCAGTCCTTTTAAGAAATAAAAACATTTTTTGAGCACTTGAGAAAAACTATCCTGATGACATTAAAAATATTTAGTAGGTCCGAAGTGACTTAAAAGGTGATGTCTCCCTAGTGAATCAACAAAGAAAATTTTTGGTATTTAACATTGCATCCTAAAAAAAATTACATTTAAAATGTTATGTCTTAAAAGAAGTCGATCTAAACAATACATGTTTAGCAATAAATAGAACTAAGCAAATAAACTGTTAATATTTAGGTTGAAAATTTTCAAAGTAATTTTACCCCACTATGCCAGTTCAAAAGCAGCTTATACTGTTAATAAGGGAACACATCTTACCTCCGCTAAGGATTTGATACATTCCTGATGTAGTTGAAGCGTTTCCAGTTTTGACTGATGCATTTTGTTCACTTGTTAGCAGAGGACTGGGGGAAGAGGGTCATAAACATCTCTTCAGAAAAGACCTTAATGAAAACATGTGTCTGTCCTGTGCCATTGTCTCAGCGGTCCTGCTAACGTATGGGACGTGTGGTGCTGCCGAGAGGCTGCTGCAGTCTCTCACTCTTCCTACTGTGGAATCAATAAGCGTCTGAAAAACGTAATGAAGTAATTGAACATACTGAAGGCTTCTTGTCTCCAGAGACAACATTTAGATTCAGTCTCTAAAAAGGAATGGCACTGCTTTTCAGAGGAAAGCCTGTTCTGGGCAGCTTTTGCAGAATGACAGCCTACCTTGTCGCTTCTCTCCACTGCAGAGAGATGCAGTGCGTTCACTAATTTTGATTGGTCAGTTGTATTGGGCTTAAACTGTGCTTCATATGTAGAGCAGGGATTCCCCCCCTCCACTGTTTTATATAAGGATGCTTTTTAAAAAGGCTATATTTATAAGTAGTCGTCTGCTGCTCTTAAATAGAATATGAGTAAATTAGTCTTTTAAAAATGTGTATTCTATTCTGGTTTGTTGTTCACTTGTGCCAAACATTAAAAAATACAGGGGGGTGGAGGGGGGTAAGAAAGAATCGCATGGTGAAAAGTGTATATTCTTTCTGAAGCCTAGATGATTGCACTCGGGAATATTTTCGTCGTCTATATGTTTTTGGTTGAGATTCTTTGTTCTACAAATAGAAAGCCACTGCATCTTTACTGTGAACCACATTGAATTTCAACTAGTTTGTTTGTATTCAAGTCATCTTTTCTGTGTATTTCAAATTGTTGTGAGCATCTCAAGGTGTTAAACCTTGTTACGACTGCAGTATTCATTCAGGTGTTCATTCATTCCATTCATTCATTCATTCATTCATTCAGAATATTAATGAGGTTGCTCCAAGGTGGTTCTACCCTAAAATGTTTTTTTAAAATGCTATTACTATTAGCATAGTCTCAATGTATAAAGATTTAATCATGTTCTTTCCTTTCAGATTACTTCTCTGTCTTCACCTTTGGTAACCCTTTTATTTAGTAGATATATAATGATCAACTGCCATAATGTTTTATTTCAACCGGCTATTTCTATTTTTAACCTGGGCAGTTTTAATGGATTGCTGTGCCTTAAATAGTATATGTAGCTGTGTGTGAAAGTTATCGGGTAAACAAAGCAGTAAAGGAAAAAGGAAACTAGTAGTTGTGTGTCTTCACAAGTTATAAGGCTAAATTATTTTAAGGTAGATTGTCAAAAGAATAAAAACAAGTAGAATTAATTAAAGTATTACTTTAAGATTAAATTTCTATTAACTTTGTTTACCTACTCTCAGTATTGAGGAAAATGCTTTTTTAGGTTTGAATATATAAAGTGGCTGGATTCTGTGTTCACAAAATAGAAGACCTTGCAAATGACTGAATTATTAGAATATTGATCATCACCTATTTCCATTATTTTAGGAATATCAGAATTCATTTTTAAAAATGTATGCTAAATTTATAATTTGTAACTGGAGTTCTTTTATAATTTAAAAAAGCAGTATACATTTTTGTAATCTTCTGGTAGTGTTTAAGCTTCACAGGGGGCTGGCTGAGTAGTATGTGAGTTTTGAATTGCATTTGTATAGAAGTTGAGAGTAATGTGGAAAATTTTGTTGTGAATTCCTAAAATTTTATGCACGGCCTTGGTAATGCTAAATATTAAAGTGTTGTTGTGCTACTTTTCATGCATTTTGAAGGTTGCAGAAAAGGATGTTGTTAGAATGCCAACCATGTTGAAAGATAGTGTGCAAGCACATGGACACACAATGTTATTTTAAGCTTCAGACTAAAACCAGAGCTTCAAACTAAAATTGGAGGAAAGATATTAGCATCAATTGAAACTTGTGGTGGGGACAAGTAATCATTAACGTAGTGAAATACACAGAGTGCTTTTCTGCCAAAGAGTTCAAGTATACTTATGTTGATCATCAAGATATCCCTATGAAGTAGAGGCAACCAAGACTCAAAGAAGTTTAATGACTTGAAAAAGTCTAGGTAAGTTAGTAGCAGAGCCAGTGTTGGACCTCTGTGACTTCCTCCCCCTTCCCCCATCTCCCCATAGTTGGCCCCCTTTCTGGAAAATTCTGAAGATACTTGGGACTTAAAATTGGATGATCTGGGTTCAGTCACCGCTTATTAGTTATATGACTTTTGGCAAGTCAAGCATTCTTTGGGACACAATATAGCTTTGATTCTTTTTGTGGAAGTTTATTTCTGTGTTTTCTTTAGCTCTCTGTAATACAATATTTCCAAGTTAGACTCTTTTGAAAAAAACAAATTCTATCTCTGTAAGAAATAATGGCAGCAAAAAAGCTCAGACTTGGACACTGCACTTTATTTCCCGTGCAAGTAAGTGACTTGTGATTAAGGATACACAAGATACCACAAACAACAATTATTTTTATTGCACACAACATTTAGTATGGTTTTCCTTTTAAAAACCACAGATTGGTTTAATGATTTATTAGCAGGATAATCCTAACTACATTTGTTTTGTTTTTAACACAGATGAAAATATCTAAAATACATGATTCAGAATTAGATTATACTATTTTCACGAAAAAATTAGTGTCAAATTATATGTCGGAATTAACAAAGATTTTTATTTCCATAGTAACAAATTTTTACACTTGTGCATTTAATATATTTTGTATTTATAGAAGATACTAATTTTAAACAGTTGGTGACTTAAGACTAGATATTATGTTATAAAATAATTTTATAGATTAATTATTAATTAGCTAATTGATAACCTAGAAAAACAGTTTTACCTTACAAATGATACCTAAGTTATGGATATGAATCTAAGCCCCCAAATATCTCCATTAAAATCCTTTCACTGAGTTCTGGGTTTTTTTGTTATAAATATTTTGATTGCAAAAGAATTTCAATTCCTAACATTTTTGATATGAAAGTCTTTGATTTTTAATTGTATACATCTGTTGCCTTAAGTTTGAACAGCCATGAATGTGAGAGAGTGATTTGTTGTTCACATTTACATTGCACTGTTCATATCAGGTCATTCTTGTCCAGCTTGTGTCTACTTCTGATGCTACTTCTTTGATGATTCTGAGTTTGTAAATAAAAAAAATTCAACTTCGTGAAATATTGTAATTAGTGACAACTGAAACTGTTTGTAAAATATATATATAAAATATATATGCAAAAGCAGTTCCTAACGGCTGAAAAATGCACTTTTTAAATTGTATGGCTTCAAGGGTGCTTTTTCAATGAATACTTAATATAGCTAACT